GCGGGTTAAAAGAAAAGGTTAGAAGCGTTCGAAATGTGGTGTTATAGGCGGATGATGAGGATATCGTGGGTAGAAAATGTTAGAAATGAAGAGGTATTGGAAAGAATAGGAGAACAGAGGCGAGAAAAAATAGGCGAGATAGGTTGGTAGGACACCTTCTCAGGCATGAACGTCTAGTTAGAGACATGTTAGAGGCAGAAACAGGAGTTAGGAGGGGTAGAGGTAGACCTAGATTAGATTACTCTTGGCAAATAGTTAAAAATGTGGACTGTTCTAGTTTTAGGGAAATGCGAAGTTTAGCTCAGGATAGGAAAGAGTGGAGGTACGTGTCCAACCAGTCAGGACTGATGACCTTATGATGATGATGATGATGAGGTGCTTGTGGTTCATCAAGTTTCAATTTTTCAATACGTGTGCACTTGGATTATATTATTTTGATGATCTATTTTTTTATGAACAAGTCTATACACACATAGGGGCATAAAACAAACAAGAGAGTCAATCTTCATATATTTTAGATTAGATTGACTCTTGATGTTTTCTATAAAAAGCTCACGAAAGAAAATGCTAACGCCCTAAACAGGGCAGTGACTCTCCCTTACCTTAAAAAAGTTCTAAAATTCATTTGTTTTCCAATAAGTCACTGTCTGTCTGCTTCTGTAGGGGTTTCTGTCACTTAGGTAAACAAACTCGTACCTTTTTAATAAACATTTGGACTTTTTATTATCCTGAAGGCTGTTGAGATTCGAACGTTCTAAGGTTGCTTATTGAATAGTGTCTATTAATCTTCTAAACATACCCACCACCATCGCTTTTTATTAAAGAAAGCACGACGTGGTATTTCTTATCATCCTTGACATTTCCTGGAGAGGAAAAATGGTTGTAGGGCATTGTATGTTATCGTTAACTTATTACCAAAATAATCGGAAAATTGAACAATTGCTAAATTTTTTTAAAAGATATTCACATCTACTTGTTGGTTCCTAAGATTTCAGAATCCTGACCGCTGATATTTTTAAATCTCTATAAAAAAAATACCTATGTATTTTTCGCAATCGCTCTGCTCTATATCATAGTTTTTCTTTTAAATAATGTTTAGGTCTGCTAAAAGCAGCACTTGTTTTTTCCGTTTAAGTAAAATCTATTGTCAGCGAACAAGGTATTATTATAGTTGCTTTCTTATGATAATTAATTTTTTAAAACATTTTCAGACTTGTGAATCGTACGGAATAGTTATACCGTATTGTTAGAGCAAAAAAACACTTCTTATATAACTTATTTTTTTCATGTTGAACGAGATAAATCTCAATATCAATAGAAGCGGTTTTCACAGACAAATATTTGAGTTGTTTTTTGTAACGGAACGACAAAGGTTTAGGAAGTAGGTATCTATGTACAGTATATTTTATTTATCAATGTAAACCATAAATATAAAGAAATCTAACGAGAATTATCGAGCATTTCGTGTTTTTTCAATACCTATTCATTCATTCGCATAAAAATTGCAATAAATAAATAACCAAATTGAAGCCAGATATAGTTAAGTTTACGTGATTTTTTTTTGTTATTTGTACTATCAGCTCATTTCAATTTGTTTAGAATTAGATACCAATTGTAATCGGCTCTCTAAGTTTTGCTTCCAAAGCGACGAACTACTTGATCTCTTTTACTTATATAAATGATCACTTGTCCTGAAAGATAAAAGGAAATGAAAAGGTTACATTTTTAGATATAAAATTGACCTTACACTTTGCAATGGAATTTACTTTACAAAAGAAAAACTGAAGACATACAAAAACGCGTTTTACACCAAAACTTCTAAAGAAACCTTTTAAAGTGCAAAGGTACAGAAGGAAGCTGTTGGTAAAACGTGGACAAACATCAATTATATATACACGTTCATATATAGGTATATATATGTAAAAACTTATTAGAGATAGAGAACGCGTCAAATACAAAGTCATATATTTTCCACAATGGTATTTAAAATAACTATTGTTTTACTAAATCGTCAAACAATTATTCTTTAATTACTAGAGACCACCAATAGCGTGCTAACTAAAAAGTCCGAATAAATAAGTGACCAACAACTTAATGTTCCTTGCCAATCATCACCAATTTATTGGAGTTCAGATGAGAAATTGAAAAGCTTGTTAAATAAATAATAAGCATATATAGAAAGGGCAATTAAATATATGTATCTATACGATTCAGATAAGCACACAGGTGTTTTTTCAAAAATTTATCCAAGTTCTTGAACAAGCTATCATTGTAGAATATTATTATCACATTGTTTTTATAAAATCACTGTTTGTACCTGTAAGATCTGTTTATCGGGATTTCAAACCTTTTCTATTAGAGATTCTAACACTAAATCAGGATTGTACTTTGGGTATACAATATAACTACAAGTTTTGTGGGATTTCTGGGGTTTTAGTGCTTATTTAAGACTATTTATGACAATGACTATTAATATTATGTAACAAACATGACTTATATGTCACCTTAAAAACTAAATTATCCAAATCCTTCTGAAGACCCTATACCGGAATACTGAGTTTTTATAAAATGCTGGCAGTTCAATAGGTAAATGAAAGGAAAAGAAACAGAAAAGTGCCTACCTTCAAAAAAAGGGTTCTTCTGAGACTCCGGATCCCAGACAGCCCACAATTGCACGGTAATAAAAGGTGCCGAGCAAATAATGTACATGAGTACAACAGCAACTGTCTGTTTCACTGTATTGACTTTTGCCCTTGATATAAGCGGCTGCTGTTGACGCTTTTTAATGTTGTTCGTACGAACATGGTAATGGTAGTTTCTTTGAACCATTTCGCACACCGAATTTTTCCAAATCATCCGACATATACTACTGTAAGTCACTGTCAGCACCACCAGCGGAATTATAAACACAGAAACGCTGTACCTGCAAAAAACAAAAAATTAATAACATAGTTATTTTAACCAGTAATAAGAATAAATATTTAACTTTTTTAAAAGTTCGCGTGCCGAGCTTCTAGTATTCAGTGGGTGATTTTGGTTATCTAGGAAGTCGGATAAGTCAGGATAGAAGGAGTAGTAGGGAAATAAAGCAAAGGATAGCGCAGGTCGCCTTCAATAAAAAGAAGTCACGAAGAAGAGAAAATACTACAAATGGCGCGGTAAACGCCATCTGTAGTACGAAGCTACATTATAGGATTACGTATGCTCCAACAAGGTCCATTTAAATATATGGATATCTACTTACTGAAACGAATCCAGGCGTAGCTAACCTCAACGTGTTGGGCACGTTTCCATAATCGAATAAAATAATTCAAAGTATTTTATTTGAGTATGGTATTTTATTCGATTTGTAGTATTTTGTAAAACGCGCTGTTAAGACAGCAGGTAAAAGTTGGTCTGTGTTCTGTCGCAGCTGCCTGCGACGCGCTGATGAGATCCAAAAAGATCGAAATCGCGATCCGCGTCTGGCAGTTTCGACAGAATACAGACCACTTCGAATTATTTTATTCGATTATAGTAACGTGCCTATCACGTTGAGGTTAGCTACGCCGGGATTCGTTTCAGCAAGTAGATATCCATATATTCAAATGGACCTTGTTGGAGCATACGTAATCCTATAATGTAGCATCGTGCTACAGATGGCGTTTACCGTGCCGTTTGTAGTATTTTCTAAAACGCGCTGTTAAGACAGCAGGCAAAAGTTGGTCTGTGTTCTGTCGGAGCTGCCTGCGCCGCGCTGATGAAATCCAAAAAGATCGAAATCGCGATCCGCTTCTGGCAGTTTCGACAGAATACAGACCACTTCGAATTATTTTATTCACGAAGAAGAAGTCAAGAGTGGAGGCGCCTGTCCAACCAGTCTTAGGACTGACGACCGTATGATGATGATGCGTGAATAAAAAAGAATGGCAGTTGCGGATTCAATTTCCAAGAAACTTAATAACTCAAAAAGTAGGTTATTGTTCCATTGCGCCTTTGAAGTTACCGACTAGCCATTTCTGTAAGCACCCTTCCCACCGCGTGTTGGAACGAGTAGACGCGGTCCGGTCTGCAATATCAAGGGTCGTGGGAAGCCACCTTTATGTAGGCATTGACAGTCTCGCGTAGACTGACAGTTTTACTCAAAACTATATTAATTTTTAATTGTAGCCAATTCTGGAGAATGGACTTTTTTTTGGAATGAATTTTTAATAACATAATTGTTATTTTGTACTTTGTTTGCTACCCATTTATCAAGCAAACACCAATTTATTTTTGTCAATTTATTTTATTTCCGCTTGATAAACCCGTCGTAAACAAAAAGGAAAACTGTGAACAAAAAGATTTCCATTTTTTCCTGAAGCTACTTTCCCCGTTATAGCCATATTAGATAGGTATTAATATTTGAGATGATTTTTACCCCTTTAATCTGATCAAAAGCACAAAAACGTATTTCATCATTTTCGACTGATAATTAGATTAATTTAAACGGCAACTGAATCGGAGGCATCAGGCGGTCATTGCAGAACGTTTCCTTGTTAGTGTGCGGAATCGATATTTCCACGTGTTTGAACTACGTTGATATCTTCAGTAATGAGTTTAAAATGTTTTTCTTAAACTTTATTAAAGTTTTAAGAAATTTCTTTCACGTAATGTTTTCCTGGAAATCAAACTGGGAGAGTACCAGCTTTTGTAAATCGACAGACTTGGTGTCTACGTGGGAAATAACAGTAATGACCACATGTCCTTAAAGAAAGCTTATCAAAGAGAATGCCAATATCAACCTAACTAACTTTTCAGCCTGTTCTAAGTATGTTATAACACCAAAGCATTAATTGTTTTAATTAAACTCTACCAGAGATAAAAATATTTAGTCTCTCATATACGTCTCTAATCGAGTCTCTCTGGTGTCGCTGAGAGAGACTTTCAAAAAAAATTGTTTAGCGTCTCTGAACGAGAGACTCGAGTCGCTCATGGAGAGATCCTCATTTCGTATCCAGTCTCTTAACCAGAGACTCGAATCTCTGAAAGAGAGACTCGAATATCTGAATTAACAATTTTATCGTTCGAGTCTCTCGTACAGAGACTGTGAAAGATCCATAAAAACACCTAGGAAATGATTGAGAGACTGTGAAAGACTGTGAGAGACGCTCTCAGAGACGCTGAAAGACTCTGAGAGACTGAAAATTTTTGTCTAAGGTACACGTATATCTACTTTTGTGTTATGAATACGTCTTTTCATTTGCCTGACAAAATTGGATATTGTTCTTAAATCGTTCTTACATTGCCAGTCTTAAGACTGGTTGGACACGCCCCTCCATCCCTTCCTATCCTGAGCTAATTTTCGCATTTCCTTGAACTAGAACAACCCATATCCTCAACTATTTACAAACAGTTATGTAATATAGGTCTACCTCTACTCCTCTTAACTCCTGTTCCTGCCTCTAACATGTCTCCGACTAGACCTTCATGCCTGAGAAGGTGTCCTACCAACCTATCTCGCCTATTTCTTATTGACCTTCATAGAGTCCTCTGTTCAAATTGGTATTTCTTTATTTCATTTGTTTAGCTTTTGTCTACTTATAGCAACTATCAGCGCATGAATATTTTTATAATTAAATCAATCATTTTCATTTTAGTGTAATAATTAAGCTATTTTAGTTTCCATATACGAACATGTAATATTTTCTTTTAGATTTCAATATTGCTTGCTTTCTACAAGTGTCTGATAACATCTTCCTATCCTTTGAGATTTTAACTTAGGGTTCTTTAAACGATTAGGTATTATGAATAAGGCTAGTACTCATTTGAAATTTTCTTCTTTTCTTTTCAATGACATAAAACAAATTAACGTTATAAACTCCAGAAACAAGTAAACTGACGCTGGCTTTTATTAAGCAAAATACTTACAAATCTGAGTATCTAAATAAGCTAACCATCTTAGATAAATAAAAGGCTAAAGGGCGCAATAAAAGTAATATTAAAAATATACGAAAGTTTTCGACTTCTATCTTGTCAAACGAACTAAATTACCTATCTAATAACTATGAATTGTTTCTCTCTATCGTTCCCTGGGAGACTACTAGAAGGAGGTAAATTTAATCGTATATAGAACCTTGAGGCACATGACAGTAAAAATAAATTCGTCTATCTAAGTGTGTAATATACCTATTGTACAACCCTTAGATATGTTTTATAATAATGGTTTCGATGAAATGGGAAAGGATGAATAATTTCCCTTAAGGCTCCAAAAGTGAAATTACTTTATAGTTTAAGTCATACATACGTAGATATGATATGAATAATTCATGTGAACTTGCAACTAGCATTAGTCAATCGGTTTTAGCCTCAGACGGTACACATCCGAGAAATTTCCGAATCCTACTTTAAAATGCAGTACATTCCTACTCATTCATTGCATGATTACGAAAACTTCTATTAGATTCCTTAAGGTTTTTATATTTTCTTCGTAGAAATGATGAGGCAACGTATATTTCTATTTTGAAACGCGTTTTTATTTCATGGAAATTGTTTGAGATTGTTAAAGATTTTTTAAGCGAACGTTTTTCTAAAAACCATCTTGTCAAGCTTTTATTTGGTATTTATATAATGCAGTCGACTCTCGTTAATTCAAAGCTGCAGTAATTCGAAGTTATAACGAGTTCCCTACAAAATCTCTTTATATTTCGAACTAAATCAATACATTTTTATGCACTTGGTAATTCGAACGAAAAAATCATTGCTACGTAACAAAATGACGCGTTAATTCGAACTCATCGGCGTCAAACACTCTACAATTCAAAGTTGCAGAAAGAAAGAGACAGAAAGTACATTCATACATTTTGAGGCAATTTCAAACATGTATCATCGTATCATCGAGCTTTTGTTTTTGTTATGATTAGTTTGACACACTTCCGCATGAATTGGTTTGTTTTATTTTAGTTATTTTCTCTCAAAAATTTCGAACCATTTGATATTTCAAACGCTCGATAATTCGTAATACTTTAAGAGTCCCTCGAGTTTCGAATTAACGAGAGTAGACTGTAGTAATGTTAAGAAAATTGAACTTGACTACCCATTCATGTCCAAAATTTCACACTAAAAGGTTTAGAAATATAACACACGGTGATGACATCTCCTCCAGTTAGAATCTAAATTAACCATCATAGTTAACAGGCCTCAGAATGTTCAGAAAGTAACCAACATAATAGCTGTTAGAAATAGAGAAGGAACCATATTTTTCCCGTAAATTCTATCGTCATTCGAGACGTAGATGTGTAACAGGTCAATTGAAAAGTCCCCGGCCTAAAATAATAAAACACATTTTTTTTGCAAAATTTATACGCGTCTTTTGAAGGTTAGGACTAACTGAAAATCATATGGATTTAGTTCTGGTGCCGCCATCTATGTGTCAGGCCGGGGACTTTTCAATTGACCTTAGTATATAGTTCTAGACTAAAGTAAGAAGTGTGAGTAACAACGTATTAGAAAATGAATTAAGGAGTGGTAAGAAATAAACCGAAATACTGTTGTAGAAGTGAATTGGATGTAATTAATAAGAATTCATGACAAGTGAGAGAGCTTATAGAATATTGAGGAAATATATGGAAAATGGTAGATGCCCAAATTCAATACTAATAAGAAATACGGACAATCTCAAACAATAAACCGTTCAAATGAAGTCAGAATATGCATATGGGAAGGGTTTCATGAGATAAGAACGACGGAAGTTTGTCGAATGATATGGAAATGACTGGGAGAACAAGAAGGTCTTAGCAAAATTGGTGGAGGATTGAATATATGGTAAATAGATAAGGGGTTGGAAGCGATAGCAAATATTCATGTATAAAAAGGGACAAGAATACTAGAATAATTCTATCAAAAAGAGAGAAAATAATGAGATATGGGCTAGAATATTGTACAGCCAATTACAATAGGAATAGCTTTTGATAAGGTACGGGTTTGTAGATTATGTAAATCAAAAGAGAAGAAGTTGGTCCAGTGCTTATACTTCAAAAAAAAAAAATAGAAATACAAACTAAAGAAACAAAAACGTTCATGAATGAACAAATACGTGAAAGGCTATAGGATTATATGAGAGATTTAATAAATAATTGAAAAATTCAGAGTCCAAATATTGTGATGAGGTGGAAAACAGATTTAGGTAGGATAAAGCTCACAATGAGAGACTGTGAAGTAGATTAAAAGAAAATCTAACAGTTATAAAGCATACTACCGGAGAAGTAAAAAATTTTCAGTTTCAGTATTTATGATATTGTACCTGAAACGGATAATCTGCATAAATCATTATGGCATAGATAAACGAAAGTAAGTTTTAAACATTACTAACAAGAACATGCAATTCTTAACCTATTAAAGGGGCGGTTCGTATCAACGGATGGAACGTCAGGGAACTCACAATAATTAATCTAATTACAGGGTAGAACAGCAGAGAGTAAATTTTCAATACCTACTAATAAACAGGGAAGATTGGGATGCATATTGTGTATAGTGTATACTTCATTAAACCATTTGAAAAGTCGCCTTCATTATTAGAAGGAGGTCAAAACTTCCTGACGAAATCGTTCAATATTCACAAAACACTAACACAAGACTCCTATTATTATCGATTATGTTAAAGTATTATAATGAGACTGGGTTCAATGTTTGATAATCCCACGGTTGAAACTTCCAGTACTACGGTAAAGCGTATATTAATTTACCAGGGAAACACGCACGTGGCCATTTTCTTAGGTACACATGTTTCTAATTATATCCGGCGTGATACAGCAAATGCCACCGTTTTGAACTTTTTATTGGGTGTTAAATCTGGTGAAGAAATAATTTGAATTTTCATTCATTTGTTTTAAAAATCGCCACAACTGACCAGTGGATTATCGTGTTATTTTGTCTCTTTTGGCCTTCTGTTCACTGTTTATATACCTTTTTTAGAAAGTTGAAGCAATATCAATGAGAGATACAGAGCTGTCTGCCGTCGCATACAGGGTGTTTTTAAAATAAGGGGTTCAAAGCAGCGTGGTTAAGGGAAAGGAAAGAAATTGTAGGAAAAATTGACGAATTTGCAATCCAAAGTCGGCTCTGGGAGTGAATTGACAACGTATAGAGAAGTTACGGTAACAACTAAGTAAATACATCGATGAAAAATGTAAACAGTGACGGTTGTCGACTAACTAACAAAGTAAATGTCCACAGCTTACTACTACGTGACCATATACGTATAATCATCTTCAAACGCTCATTGTTATAACAATTAATTAAATAACTACTTTGTTTTCGCTGATAGTATCCAGTACTATTTAAAGTACACCTCGAACACAAAATATAAAAAAAATTACACATACAGCACGGATGCCGCAGTTGATGGAATGCGGCTTTGCAATGTCGTATTTCCCTACCTGATTTTACCAGGGTCGGACTGACCTATGACTGTACTAAATATTTACCTAATTTTCCTGTTTTATCACCTCCTGCATGTTTGGTACTAATTTCAGAAATACCCTGTATAATTTTTATCATCATCATCATCATAAGGTCAGGCCTTCAGTGGTTGGACACGTACCTCCACTCTTTCCTATCCTGAGCTAATCTACGCATTTCCCTAAAACTAGAACACCCCACATTTTTAACAACGTCGGAACAGTAATCTAATCGAGGTCTACCTCTACCCCTCCTAACTCCTGTTTCTGCCTCTAATATGTCTCTGACTAGACCTTCATGCCTGAGAAGGAGTTCTACCAACCTATCTCGTCTATTTCTTATTGACTTCCATAGTGTGCATCCCTGTCTGACTCCCTTCCTTCCCTTCTTAATATCTAGTTCTCTACATTGCAGCCCCAGCTTATTTATTTTATTATGCTTACCATGTGACATATGCTTGTTGGCCCCATATTTCTTCAAATGTTGCCCAACAGTCGAAAGTGTTGGGCTCTGCCTCTTGATAGNTATCCGGCGTGATACAGCAAATGCCACCGTTTTGAACTTTTTATTGGGTGTTAAATCTGGTGAAGAAATAATTTGAATTTTCATTCATTTGTTTTAAAAGTCGCCACAACTGACCAGTGGATTATCGTGTTATTTTGTCTCTTTTGGCCTTCTGTTCATTGTTTATATATCTTTTTTACAATGTTGACGCAATATCAATGAGAAATACAGGGCTGCCTGTAGTCACAACTATCATTAGAAAAACCTGACGCATACAGGGTGTGTTTAAAATAAGAATGTTAACAAGATGCAGTGCAGAATCGCATGGGGTTCAAAGCAGCGTGGTTAAGGGAAAGGAAAGAAATTGTATGAAAAATTGACGAATTTGCAATCCAAAGTCGACTCTGGGAGTGAATTGACAACGTATAGAGAAATTACGGTAACAACTAAGCAAATACATCGATGAAAAATGTAAGCAGTGACGGTTGTCGAGTAACTAACAAAGTAGATGTGACCATATATAATCATCTTCAAACGCCCATTGTTAAAACAATTAATTAAATAACTACTTTGTTTGCACTGATAGTATGCAGTACTATTTAAAGTACACCTCGAACACAAAATACAGAGAAATTACTCTACAGCACGGATGCTGCAATTGATGGAATTTCCCTACCTGATCTTACCAGGGTCGGACTGACCTATCACTGTACTTTCAAATACGTACTTAAGACCACTAAATATTTACTTAATTTTCCTGTTTTATCACCTCCTGCAAGTTTGGTACTAATTTCAGAAATACCCTGTATACTTTTAAACATCATTATCATAAAGTCAGGTCTTCAGTCCTAAGACTGGTTGGACACGTATCTCCACTCTTTTCTATCCTGAGCTAATCTTCGCATTTCCTAAAACTAGAACATCCCACATCCTTAACTATGTGGGAACAGTAGTCTAATCTAGGTCTACTTCTGCCTCTAATATATGTCTCTGACTAAACCTTCATGCCTGAGAAGGAGTGCTACCAGCCTATCTCGTCTATTTCTAATTGACTTCCATAGTGTGCATCCCTGTCTGACTCCGTTCCTAATATCTACTTCCCTACATTGCAGCCCCGGCTTATTAATTTTATTATGCTTACCATGTGACATATGCTTGTTGGCCCCATATTTCTTCAAATGTTGCCCAACAGTCGAAAGTGTTGGGCTCTGCCTCTTGATAGGAGAAAACAAATATCTGGAAAAAATGTACACATTGTCAATATTCAAAATCAAAGCATGTAGAATTTGTTTTATCCACCTAGTAGGTAGGGATATATCAATTACATTTCGTTTCAAAACGAATAATTTAAATACAAAAGTTGGCCTTATTGTAGTGACTTTTTTAGAAATATAATTAATATCAAAACAACGAAGCCTTAAACACATCACTGTATATTACCTACATATACCTATGTTTAAGTAACATATACAATGCTACTTTGTTTTATTGTTAACTAATAGATAACATCATCAACAATAATTGCTGCATGTTTCGTTATTTAATCCTTCTTTTACGTAATAAGTAATACCTGTAGGTGTTTTTAGAAAATGATTAATTTTGCGTGTAACTAAATCATTACTTCCCAAGGCTGTAAAAAACGTGTAATTAAAGTATTCCTGGTTTTCTGTAGTTATTTCCCTTTATTAGGTATTAATTTGGTGTAGACGTGAACTTCACTATAATTAGCAGAAACAGTTTTTATTAGCAATAATTACGAAATAATAATCTTACATTGCAATAATTAATTAACGGATGGATGTTGTTTATGATGCACTGTGATAAGCGAAATTAAGAGATCAAGATTAAAACCAACAAGACCAAGACAAAAACCATGACCTAATAAACAAGACCAAGACGAAAAGTAAAACCAAATATGCTAAAGACTAAACGAAAAATTATTACTTAAGTTTAACTTAACTATTTGAAGTAATTTTAATATATTCTTTTCTTGGAACAAAACATTTTTAGTACTTGAAATTTTTAGTTTGCTTTACTAGATTTTAACACTAAATACAGTGGACTTCGGGTATAACGACGACGAAGGGACCGCTGTAATTTCGTTGTTTTATCCGGAAGTCGTTACAGGCAAAGCTAAAGAGATACAGACGTGTGTATAGTTTTCATCATTTTTTAATTTTGAAACGATTTCCGCCTTTTTTAACAGTAAATGTGTATGTAGGAGTCAAACTAATACAAAAGTTTACGAAACATAGTTACTACTCGTAATAGCAAAATAGTCGCTACAATCAAGGTCGTAATAAATGAAATTTACTGTATTAAAACAAAAAAAACTTTACCACTGTTTGAAAAAAGGGATTTACAAGAATGCCCTCGGAATAAAAGTGTTCTTTGTTCCCATGTTTGGACAATACATGTATACAATATAGAGGCAAACTAATTTTTTTCGAAAATTTTTATTTCTTTCAAGTACTATTGCTTGCTAAAAGGTCAATATATGCGTTGGAGAAAGGGTAAGTTCTCAAATTTCGACACTGTTTTCTTTAAAAGTCTTGGTAAGCTCGCATATAACATTTATAACCCTAAGATGGAATTCTGACATGTACACGCGCTCGACAAGTCAAATGTGGGTTATTTTTAATTGAAAATTTCGATTAAACGACAGTATTCTGGATATCGGATGTAGGCGTGTTAATTAGTTTCATCTTTTGGTTAGACGTCTTATTAATAGTCAACTGATTCCAGAAAGGGTTATTAACCGGTGAAACAATTTGCATTACAAAACAGAGCCGTAGATATTCAGAGCACCATCAATTCTAATCGTTAGTTAAAACTGCTGTCGGTTATCTCAAACATAATCATCTGTAAAGCAATACATTCTCCAAATACAAATACGAATAAAGAAGCATCTAAAGATTTTTATATACGTTTCACCACGACATTGATTTGTCAGCGGTGGGGTAGGGGGTTGAGAACTGTCTGTTCGATTGTTGATTTTCTTTATAGGTAAATATTGCTGTGTGTGTTTTCTTGTGTCTTACCAATTTCGTTTGAATTCTTGAAAATTGGAGTTAGGTGCTGCTTATTCTTAGTTGCTATCATCGGGCTACAGAAAATTGCAAGTGCATATCCACTCTCATATGTAGTTACATTTTAAAGCGGGTCACGTAGTTAATTACTTCAATAAAGGATATTTCGCCTTAGTAACTATCATACGTACATATAGCCCATTTCAATTTGTTTGAATTGTGACCTTGAAGAAATCTGCGCGAATATAAAAAGAATACACACTAGGCGTGAGCAAGACAGAAATAGTTGGAACAAGCTTGAACGAGCAGAGCTGTCGATGGGCCGTCTTAGAAGATCGGCTAGAAATGTACAGTACTAGACGAAAATGTTTAGCAATCTCTTAAAACAAAAATGTGTATAAATTAACAATCAAAGCAAAAGTTTTATAGGTGTGTAGAACGTTAAGTTAATTTAGTTGTTATTATTTTTGGCTAAATATGCTTTTAAATAAAGCATATTCTTAAATTTTAACGAGGCAGTTTAAACAATTTTGCGAATGGTACTGTACACTTTTGTCTAATTCTCGCTCGATGATCGGTAGAGAAATGAGCTCCGCAGACAAAAATGATTGAATTTGGAATTATGCTACGGCGCATCCTAATAAAGGGAAGAGGCATATCTTCAACTTCTTGAAACGAACAGTAGGTGTATGTTGAACTCAACATGAAAACGCCTTCGAATATTTTGAACTTCCAGGATTATTATCCTGGACGAGAATAATTTCTTATTATTCTATTTTAGAATGCTTTTGTGGCAAAACCAAAAAAGGAACTTGACCTATTTTTTTCAAGCAGCTTGCATGATAGCATTATCTAATTTCGAAATTGTTCAAGTTTTGCATGTTATACAGCAATTATTTATAAATATGAGCCTTCCTTTAATAGAACTTCCGTCCTTAAAGGTACAATAAATTAACCCTCAAGTTCTTTATTTTAGAATTATTGTTGCTAAATTGAATATTAACGATTTTGCGTTCATTGATGTTATGTATATAGTGACCTGTTAATCTATATAGTTGTTCTCTGTCTAATTCAAAAAGCATTTTATTAAATACATATGTCTTACGAAAATTAGACATCTACCTGTATATATATATGAAATTAATTGTAGGTAGATACTAACAACTAAATAAAATACAACGCATGACAACATCCCTTATTTGTACCTGCTCCATATTTTTTTGTTTTCAAATATGTAACAAAGATAGCTACTGAATTATTTATTCGTATGAAGTTGGGGTTGGATGGATGACGTAGTAAAAAACGTCAAAACGGGCAATGGTTACAGAATTGATTATTAAGAATTCCCTGTCATGCCGATGATGCGGACCTTTTTGGGGAAAATGAGGATTACCTGTAGAGAGACTTGCAGCTTTTTAACAGTGTAGCAAAGCAATTCAAAATTCATTCCCACCAGCCACTAATGCTGGTAGGGGGGCAGTCCCTTCGGACTATGCCGGAAGGTGGGGCGGAAGGCCCTCTTCAGCCTCCTTTCAGGAATCGTGGGAATGGGTGGGTGGTGGTTCGGGTGAGAAAGATGAGACGGACGAAATGTAGACAGAAGAGAATGAAAGATTATCTGTGGAATATTACTGCCCCAGCATAAGCCTAAGTGATCCGAGGAAACCACAGAAAAACTTGGGCCAAGGCAGATAGACCCGGAATACTGAGAAATGGCCTAAACCTACAGGCCATGCCGCTCGGTGCCACTTCAATGTAAACTGGAACTGAACTAGAATATTATAGAATAAGTAATGTCATTCACGTATCTGGGAGTCGAACTAACAAGTTTCGGCGAAATCGAAAATGAAATATCGGAGCAAGTTAGAAAAGCTAGCAAAATCGCTGTTTAAACGACACCAGTAGGAAGAATAAAGACATAAACGTAAACAAAGACAAGAATTAAGACCGTGATTTACACGGCTGAGACTAGACATATGTAAAAAAAAGGATACTAGGAACAGCAGAAATTAAGATATCAGAATTACTGGGGGAGAACGCTGTATATGACAAATACAAGTGAAAATATAAGAAAACTATTTAAAGACACCCAACAGAAAATAAGAACGGAAAGCACACATACAAATAATGGTAAAAAAGGCCTTAGATAAGTCGCCCCTAGAGAGAGAAAGTCAAGGACGACTAAGAAAGAGATGAAGCAATAATTTGCACCCTCAATAGACATCATCGATGAAAAACAAGTTCCAGCGCAAATGGAAGAAAGAAGAACAAGGATTTTAGGACTATCGGTTGCTATTAACAGTTTAGCATCCGAAACTTTTCCAAATGACTTCTATTAGATACATTCACTAGATGACAAACTAATTGAATTTACCTCGTCAAGTCTCTCTCCCTCTGCAAGTAGTAAATAAGAGTGTGAGACTAACACGTTCGACTTTTGGGTAGCATTGCCAAAAGTAGGAAAATTTCCTTAGACTTTTAGAATTAAGGGCCAGCTTAGGGAAAAGGGGATTTACATTTAATTTAATTATTTTTGTTTAAGCCTTTTCTTTGCAATAGTAAGAATAACCAGGAAAATATAAGGAAATAGTTACTTCGCTCTAAAAATTAGTGATTGTAAGATTTCATTACGCTTTTAATGTAAAATGAATTTTGTTACTCTATCCTCGCAATGAGCAACACTGCGTGCGATATACTTCTACTTCAATATCTTTAAGTAAACCTTGAAAGGATTTAATAAGATTTCTTATTATATCTCATGCATTTAAACATTTCGTGGTAGGTATCTTTTAAAGAACTCTTCAGGTTGTTTATTATTTTTATTGGATCGTTTACACGCGCTTCTTTATATGTAGGGACATATATTCTTAGGATATATTTTATCCAGACCCCAACCCCTATAACCTTGTTCCCTCCCGTAGATTTTTCTGTTGGGTAAAATAACTTTTCTTGACATGATGCACGTTTTTGGGTTCCTCTTTGGAATTTACTGCTATCACTTAATTTTTTCGCAATGCGTGTACGCTCCAGTTCGATCAATTCGATATTTTATTACTAACCACACCCTGTGTCCTTATGGTCATGTTACATTTTATTTTGTTTTAATCCTCAAGTTTGCTTTGATGTAAGATTTTTCTATAATTTAACTACCTACCTATAACGCGTTTTTACAATCTAATTGGTCATTAATGTAAACATAATATTCGAAAAAACGTACCTAAATGTTTCACGAAGCGAAGCTAACAAGATTTTTCATTACAAAAAAAATGAGACAAAGCATCCATTATTTTGTTATACGTCCTTTAATTAAGGTATTCTAAATTTGTACGTAGTTAACTTCTTTTATTTGAAAATTCTCTAAGCGAAAAATTAAGAAAACAAAAAGAAGTGCTAAAGAACATTTTTTAGTTAAAATAATTCGAAATGACCTGTATTCTGTCGAAACTGCCAGTTCGATCTTTTTGAATCTCATCAGCGCGCGCAGGCAGCTCCGACAGAACACAAACCAACTTTTACCTGCTGTCTTAACAGTGCGTTTTAGAAAATACTACAAATGGCGCAGTAAACGCCATCTGTAGCACGATGCTACATTTTGGGATTACGTATGCTCCAACAAGGTCCACTTGTGTGGATATCTACTTGCTGAAAACGAATCCCGGCGTAGTCAACCTCAACGTGATAGGCACGTTAGCTTAATCGAATAAAGTAATTCGAAGTGGTCTGTATTCTGTCGAAACTGCCAGACGCGGATTGCGATTTCGATCTTTTTGGATCTCATCAGCGCGTCGCAGGCAGTTCCGACAGAACACAGACCAACTTTTACCTTCCGCCTTAACAGCGCGTTTTAGAAAATACTACAAGTGACGCAGTAAACGCCATCTGTAGCACATTTTAGGATTACGTATTTATTTAGTTACCTGTGGTATGCAGAAAATGAGACTTGTTATCCATGCCGTCCAAACCATTAACTTTGATCTCCTGGAGGTCCAGGAACAGTAAGTAAGCGGGTAGCAGATGGCTTGATAACGATCAACTGCGGTCGCCATTAGGATATACGAGCTCAAGTAAGGTCCTAATAATTGCCCGAACTTGACTATTTTGCACAATAGCCATCCCCCTTTGAACCGAAACGTTATGTCCCACGCAAGTTGAGGAAGGTCGCTCAAAAGAGCGGTCACTAAATCCGCTATGCTTAAGTGAAGGATGAAGAAGTACATCCTCGAAAGTTTCTTTCTTCCGGCATATATCCTCCTCGTCCATAACGCCAACAAAACGATACTGTTACCCAAAACAGTGACGATAAAGATAACAATGAGAATGGCAATCTCTATCTTTGCCAAATTTTCATCTCTCTCAGAGAGGACATTTTCCACGTCAAACTGCGGTTGGTACAGTGACTGGTTGTTGACAGAAAAGTTCATTCTATATGATATATCATCTTTATGAACATGATCTGAAATTAAAAAATATAATTAAATCAAGTATAATGCGTGTATCAGTGCCGTTATTTCGTTGATATACTTTGGACTTGTTAAGAATGCTTGATACCTACTTTTAATGTTAGGAATATAGCTAAAAAAAATTATAACACCCAAAAACCAAAACAACGTAACTGTAAATGTCACAGAGGGATCTCCTCAGAAGGCTAAACTATATGAACGAATCGTTGGTTTAATATAATGATTTGAATCCTTATTGTTAATTTATTTCCATGCAACGAAAACGATAGTACCTATTGCTTAAGCTAAAAATTGACTGAAAATTTTATAAAATAATTCGAAGTGGTCTGTATTCTGTCGAAATTGCCAGACGATCTTTTTGGATCTCATCAGCGCGGCGCAGGCAGCTCGACAGAACACAGACCAACTTTTACCTGCTGTCTTAACAGTGCGTTTTAGAAAATACTACTTGTGTGGACCTTGTTGGAACATATGTAAGCCTAAAGTGTAGCATCGTGCTACAGATGGCGTTTACTGCGCCATTTGTAGTATTTTCTAAAACGCACTGTTAAGACAGCAGGTAAAAGTTGGTCAGTGTTCTGTAGGAGCGGATTGCGATTTCGATCTTTTTGGATCTCATCGGCGCGGCGCAGGCAGCTCGACAGAACACAGACCAACTTTTACCTGGTGTCTTAACAGCGCGTTTTAGAAAATACCACAAATGGCGCCATCGCCAAAACTATTTCAGTGTACATATCTTATCATAACAATTATTGAAAATTGTGTAAGACGGTAGAACCTAAGTACAAAGGAAAGTCTTATACACATTTTCGCGGACTTCTTGCATAGTACAAAAGAATTTCCTACTGAATGTATTCTGTGATGCGCGAGATGAGATTTCAAACAAATAGAAAGAATCAAGTTAAAGCGTATCCTTTGTGCCCGAATATTTCGGTTAAACTTGCCTGTCAAATCAAGCAAGCATGCATATCTAATATTATTGAAGTGAACGATTTTCTCTTAAACGTGTTCTGAATAGTCCATTAAAAAACAATATAGCTTTGAAGAAATACAATCGATAACATAAGAATAGACGAAAAAAATTCACAATATTTCATATGTTGGTTCAGGAGAATTTTATGTTTTTATTTGATACATATTTCCTGGAAAAATTCTATGAGAACTTGTGGATGTTATTATTTTGATTCAATTATAATTTTCGAGTCACTACGTACAAGCTAAGCAAGGATATCGCGTAACACGGTGTACCGTTACCTTTACCGTACGAAACATTCGGCAGTGCATTCCTTGCTTGCCTGTGTACGGGTGCACAGTATGTAGCGACTCCACGTTACACAGTTACTCTATAAAAATCCTGGTCACCATAGCCGGCGCAGTAGGGGCTACCGATAAAGTCATTACCACTATGTTTATGTACTTTCTCTCCCTTAATTTTTCTAAAGTACTTATCAGATGTAGTTTATAGTTAAGGTACTCCTTGACTAAGCTAAAGTTTTGTAGTCAATTATTACCCTTGATTGACTAAAGTGTGGTAATTGTTGCTTTATAATTCGCATTTTACTTGCTTTTCACTCGCTTGGCGTCGATAATAATACGCAGCTGTGGTAAAAAGCAATTAAGTTAAATGTTTAATAAAGCAACCATAACTTTTTATTAAAATCATACTTCTTTCGGGAAGATGAGAATAAATTTAACAAGAATTGAAAGTTGCGCGTAGCGGATAACCAAAATCCGATATCGTGTTAGTTATGAGCGAGCACGTGGCTAGAATTGCAGTAAGGCTTAAGAACTAGTGTCTCTAGCCTCGGCGATCGCTGTTAATTCTGTTTTATTTAATAAATTACGCCTCGTCATGAATTATATGGACTTAACAGTGTAAAGGAAAGTTTTCTATACAAATGCTTAATTATTTCGTAAATTAATTACGGATCAGCGATTCTCATTCCGTTTTACGTGTGCCATCTGCGAAACTTTTCTTGACGCTATAGTATAATCGTAGGGAAATTCGTTGAATTTAGACGATCCCTTAATAGACGACGCAATTTTGACAAATACTATTAAATTCGCTTGTAATTTTCTAAGGCCCGTACTAAATTGTTTAGCATTTAATACATTTTCACTTTATGTAAACCACATTTTACGATAAACTGAAACACCTTAAACACATATATACAGGCTGATTCACATTCGACTTTCACCATGAAAGTCTCCTAAACTTAAACCGTAAGAGATACGATTGGGATTAATTTTGGGAAAAGTTGCCTAACGAAGTACTCAATGGTGAAGTACCTAGAAATGCAAAATATCATTGTTGATTTGCGATATATCTGAAAAAAAGTAAAATTTTGGATTTTCCTTAATTCGACTGTGACTATTTCAGTTATACGTAATTAGATCTACTTGAAAGATAAAGTTTACAGTCTGCAACGTGTATTTCGTCCATTTGAAATGTAACGTTTCACCTTTGCGGTAGTACCTAATACATCAACTATAAATGTTTAGGTAAGTGCGAACCAAAGGACACAGAGAATTTAATAAAGTCTTTAACCTATTGGAGGTCCCGGGCATATAAGGATAATCGGGCCCCTATAGATTTAACAGATGACTGTCCTGTTAAAAACGCAAAAAAGGATAGATATATAGATAAGAAAAATTCTAAATTTATTGAACAATTACTTTTATTTCTTTACAACCATATAAATGAATAGATATAACTTCTTTAGAATTTACAGGCCAGTGCGTAAAATTCTATGTTTACTGAAAAGTTTTGATAAAAGCAAAATTAAATCATCAATCAGTTGTGCTTATGCACATAAGCGACATACTGATCAGTCTTTCTTAAAGTGTTGTACTTCTTAATCGATTTTTTATTCTTTTCGATTTGGAGAAAATTCGCTCCCAATGCCCCTAGTTATCATCATGCTCAAATGCAGAAAAAGAAGACTGTGGTAAATGATTAATTAGAAATTAAAATGAAGACTCACCTCTAAATACCACAAAAACTTTTTGATCGGACACGTGTTTCGCCCACTTCATACGTGGGCATTATCAACGCGAGAAAATTTTTGTGGTAATTAGGGGTGAGTCTTCTTTTTAATTTTTAATGCTCAAGAAGATTCTCAATGCACTTCCTACCTTTAGAAATGTGTTTTCAATTCAAAATAAATATATTTATCGGTAATAAATTATTAATTAAAAAAAGAGTAAAAACTCCAGACTTATGCTTAAAGTGTTAAGTTTGATAATGGTCCCGCATGAAAAAACCATAAAAATTTATTACCTGGTTATTGAATGAACCAAGCAAGACGTATGGGTTGTAGTGTCGTGTGTGCAACCCTGAAACTCTTCTAAAAATTCGTCGCTAAAAACTATTTTCTTATACCGTCTTACACAGCAAAAATATGGATAAAAACGTTTACAAGTAGAAAAATAGTCTTCTTAAAATAAAAAAATTAACGTTATTGCTGTGAAATATAAGGACAAATAAACGGACCCCTTTGGTATGTTATAAAAGCCATAACTATTATCAATATTTTTATACAGGCAATTCTGTAGTTTCTTTATAGGTTTGTTTTCAGAATATTAAAAGATAAATTAGTGTTATTAGCATACTAAATTTTTATAATGGAACTGAACTGTCGGTGATTTATATTGATCTGCATTCGTTATTATTGAATCGCGGATAACAAACGGTTACTTAAATATAAATTATGCGATTGACAAAATGTTAACAGTCAATGGTGCCAATGTAATCCATCATTTATCCAGAATTACGTAATCTTTTGCAGGTTACATCAATTCCCTTTATGATAATTAAATTTTCATCCTATTACTAAACATAATAGACTAGTTTGTCTACCCATTCCTGTTAGACAAACACATTAAGGAAATTTAATTACTTCATAAATTATGTATAGTGGACAACAATTGTTTGCTACCCTTACACAACACTTACAAATAATCATATTTTTGTCCTTGTAGGAAAAAGATCTGTTTTTTGCAACATTTCCATTAGCGAAATAAAATAATTCGCAGTGGCCTGTATTCTGTCGAAACTGTCAGACGCGGATCGCGATTTCGATCTTTTTGGATCTCATCAGCGCGTCGCAGACAGCTCCGACAGAACACAGACCAAC